GAATACACGATGACATTCATTGTACCGCGTTGTAATGTCGAAGGACATTCGGCTGATATACCCTAGCCGGCATTTTGCCCTTTTTCGCGAAATTTTTTACAAAATGATTCACTCTGTTGATTTTTGTGTTATGGTTATGCATGTGGTGAGCGAAGCGTGAGCGACCTCATTATAGCAAAGAGTTCTGTGCGTTATGCTTCAGTGACTGACTGGCAATGTATTGCAAAGGCGTTTTCGAGGGGGGGGGGCGTTTTCGTCTGTGGCACAGACCCTTTTCAACAAGTGAAATTATCTTCTTGATCGCTGAAGTTTTTTATTCCGATGTCTGCAATCAGTGAAAATCGGCAATCAACAAGAGTTATTTTCCGAAGTAGTGCGTCATGCCAGACCAGAATGTCGGTTAGCAGTTTATCAGTCGGGTAAACGTTCATTTTAATTTTGGTTCTGTAAACTCTTTTTATTATGACAGCTGCGGGGGAATTCAGTTCAAAGATCATGAATTCGATCGCCAATAGGATCAGTGGCCTTTCAGCATTCCGAGATGGATTAATAGGTACCCAAAAATAAACATCGATCTTATCAGTTTACTAGTATAGTGTTAGTTTTCGATATCGCCGTTTTTGTAATCACTTCAGGTGTTCAAATACCATGGAGCCATGACCTGCTGAAATAGTCCCTTAGACTGCTAAAAGCAAGGGGACGATGCCTGTATGCCGTGTAAATCCGGTAGTAAACGAAAAATGTTCAGTATCACTGCATTCGAAAAATGACAGTTTATACGGCAGTGGTCAGTGACTTTCTGTAGATGTTGCCTTTCAGCAAGCAAGGCATCAGTGGCTTGTCGTATCATAAGCTCCATTGAAGATGGGCGCCATAAGCGGAAGTGTAAATAAGATCGATATTCTGGATGGTTCGAAGTGTCGCTTTTACGACCATTCCAAAGATTCGTTTTCAAGGGTCGCTGTTCGCTTTTGGTCTTAGTGAGATAGTTTCATAAGGTTTTACCAATGGTCCCCGTCTTCTACTAAGTTGGACAGCTCTATGGACAGAATTTCTTTGCGCGAAAATACCAGGTGTTCGATTAACACGAACAGTCTGACCTGTGAATTACCCTTTCGCTGCTTGATGCATGGCATTCCGAAGAAGGTCCGTATTGCGAATCAAAATCTTTCTTCTGTAATTCTGAACACTTGTCCAGGTTCTCACATTAGTGACGTATCTGACTGAAGAATGAATGATTCACATCACAACACGTTTATGCATGTTTCTATGAAAACTTTCGATAAATGAAAACGTATGACAACTTTTGATCGTTGACAGCGGTAGTTGAGAGGGTAGCAACGGTAGGTTAGAGCGTATTGGTTAGCGGCATTAATATATTTTTCATAGTCGTTCTGAAGCGCTTGTCGACTGACCTCCTTGAAAATGTTTGGCCAGGGCTTGCATACTGATGTTGCTGCTGTACACTGCCCTTGTCATTTATCGCAGCTTCAGCATCCAAAATCTAAGGCCTCAGTGAATATGCCGTGGAAGCCGCCAACGATGAAAGTGATGAATTGCATGCTAAACTCAGTTACAGTCGAGTGTGTTCACTAATACGATTATTGTGAGAATCTCTCAGGAACTCTAAAACGGTCCACTGGCGAGGCTCTGGTGATTAAAATTCCTGTTCTAAATGTTTATAAAGTAAATGGCTAGCAGAAGCAAGAATACTACCCGAAGCGTTAAGATGGCGTGGTGGCACGGTGTCTAAGATGTCGGCTTCAAACTCCGGAAATGCCAGGTGTGATTCTTCTCGAGGACAATCTTTGTCTTAATCACGAATTATCTTGAGCAAAGAATTTATCATTTATGGCATCTGATCGGAGTTGCTCAGTCAGTGGAATGTCGGACTGAGAACCAAGAGGTCTCGGGTTCGAGCTCTCAGTCGTCTTTTCTTTTCGAGGTTGATAAATGAGTACCACTCTGTTGGAAGGAAACGAATACTCTGTTTGCTACGTAGTTGCTGCCTAAAACGACACTTTTGGCCAAGGGCATGAAAATGGCATTAGCGCGCTCGTACCATTAACTCCTTGAAAGAAGGGTGTTAGAATGGCCTCGACGTAAAAGTGTGAGGAAAACACATTTCATGGTTATAAACTTCTTTCCTTGAAAACGTTACCGATAGTATTCGCTGTTTTCTTCGGTAAGTTTTGGCGCAACTGCAACTCAGCGAGCCATCGTTTCCTCAGAGACAAACTACTCTGCAGTTTTCATAAGAGACGGTGGTTTGCTTAGTTGAGCAGGTGAGGACTACAGAGTCTTGCAGACTGTATTGGAACAAGAACTACTGAACAGAAGTGGACAGCAGTTGAACATAGACATGGTATTGGACAGTGTTTACTTTCCATACTCCTGCATGACGTTCGATGCTTTCTTAAGTCTGTCAATCTTTGGAATCGTCACTGACTGATATCGATAAACGCGTTGCCTTGAGTACGAGGCTATATTATTAATGGGATGCAGTTTACGAAACGTTGGTGAGTCTTAATTTCTGTCACGAGCCTGTTGACGTCCGGACACCAAACCTAAGGACAGTTTATTTCGGATTTGCAGTACAGAGCTTGTAATGATGACAAATTCTTGACGGAGCAGGTTGAAACAGATGCATGAGTCGTGCGCGCTTTTTTTGATTTTTGTCTGAATGCGCAGACGCTTGCCGTTTGATGACGATGTTGTGAAATTGCCCGCCGTCCGTTTTGATGTTTTGGGAGGGCACTGGTCTGTGTTGCAGGTCAGACATAAGTCGCAAAATAGGCCACCACACGATCCGAAGTCGATGTCTTATTTTCAGCGGACTGACTTTTTGCATGTTGCGATCCTGGAATCAGAACTCTGTGCACGATTGAACACAGACACCAAAAATCGACTGCCATTTTATGGTTTGCCAGCATCGTTTAGTCGGGGCAAAATGATAATGTGAAATTTACGTGATCAATGTCTTAGCAGGCCGTCGCACGCCCTTCGTACAGGGGAAGGTAAAGGTGGGACAACTTTAATCGTGCGGAACATACTTTGAGTATTTGTAAGAATAAAGCGGATGATGAACCTGTGCGTGGCATACAAATGCGCGAAGGTCATTTCATTCAAAGCATCAAAGTATACCTGCATGATTACTGCAACAGTAGTCGTACGACGATCTTCTGGCATTACGCAACAGACGCTGTTTGTGCATTAAGTTCACGTTCGAGCTGTTGAATTTTATGTCTGATGAAACGGTTTCTTGTCAACTGGTCTTTGCCAAGACGAGTGACAGCGAGGCGCAGAACGGCAACCGCCTTGGCCGCACGACTACTAATAGCAATTCCCTCATTGCTAATACTTGAGACGCGTTGTTGGTGACTTTTATGATCTTCCGTCTTTCTGTCGTTCGTTACCGTAAAACACTCCTGTCGGCTGTTGGGCGTTCGATCGCCTGTCGTAAGTGCTCACTTCACTGTATCATTCTGTGTCATTCATCAGGTCGTTTTCTAGACAATAGCGCATACAACGGTTGTCGGTAATTTGGTAATGATTTTTGATTTGACTGCTAGAACTAGTGCCGTTGTGGTTACTTTTTCGAACTGAGCCGAACGAACTAAGCCAAATAATGCGACTGCCGCGTCCGGTAAGGTGGATTATGAGGCAAAGCTTGC